CCATGAATTCCCGATGAAGAATTCCCCTTGAATCATAGAAACAAATCACTTTAAGCTTCCAAGGAATGCCAAAAAAAAAAATGGGCTACATCTTTAAAAAGTCCTGTTTACTTATAGACTACAGTTCAATAATAAACACTAATAATTTATTTTTGAATGTAATGGAAGAGCATTTTGAGTTTGAAGTTTTATTAATAAAACACTGATCAAATTCTTAAGCAGAATGTTCACTGTACTTTTGCATTGTAAGCTGAAAATGAAATAATAATATTTCATATTCATATTTGTTTAAAAACAAAGTGAAAAATGCTCCAATTTCGACCACTGAGCATTTCTCGGTTTCTGTATGTCGGAGAGACAATTTATTTTGCTTCATTTTAGAAAGGAATTGTTTGCCAAAGGCACACAAAACAGACAGTTATTACAGACATATTAAAATTCATATATGTACAATACATACATATTTGATCAGCCTTATGAACATAATATATGCATGTGTGTGTGTACGTATCTGTGTATGTATGTGTATTTACATTTGTGGACTGACAAATCAACGCACAAGTTCAGAGTCAGACCGCGGCTTCAATTGGCACGGCGTCCCATAAATCATCAATTGTTGGGCACTCTCGCTGTCTTTCATTTTGTTTACATTTCGCTGGCAACATTGTTGCTGTTGCTGTTGCTGTTTTGTTATAGTTGTTGTTGTTGTATGTTGGCACTTGATGTTCCTTCTACTTGACTGACTGACTGAGGACTGCGGCCCGTTGCTGTGTTTGCTTCAATTACATTGAATTGAATTATAATTAAGTGTTAATGGTCATTTAATAACATTGTTATCGTTCATAGTTTAAATCGAATTACACCAATTTAAAGTTTCCTAAAAGCTAGATCTTCTTTACAAGTATAAATGGACAGCCGAACACGTTTCACAAATTCGAGTAACTGTTGAGGCGCGAAATTTCATTTCAACGTAATTAATTGTGAACAGACTTTCATCGTTTATGAGACAAATGAAAAGAGGCATATGAAAGTATTTACCGTAGAAGTAGCGAGAAAATTGGTTGGAAACAAATGTGAAAACCAGTCTTGAAATAAAGTTCAACAAACAACACTGACGATAAATAAAATTAAAATCTTGCTGATTTATGTGAAGATATGATCAAATTTTGTTAAATTAAAAAAGCGGGCTGTAGAGATATGTATGTGAGAAGAATTAGAAACGGGATTTCCTAATAAGATATAGTTCAGTTATAAAATGATTTCTTTAGAAGCTAAATCTTTTGGTAAACCAATTCCAGCGCAACTTACAAAATACTTATTAAATTAAATAATTAAATTACACCTTCACACCTTTCATCAAAATTTCATAATCGGATGGATAGTTGTTGTTGCAGTTGTTGCACACAAATTAACATATTTAGCTTTGTTGTAAACTCTATACAACTATTTCCGACACCTTTCAATTGATGAAAAAAGTGTATATATAAGTGATAATTGCTTATCTCGTGTGTCCACAGATGATTCAAGAAAGTTCGCAAAATTCGTGATCTACGAAAATTATGCAATCGAAAAAGTTAAATATCTCATCCAAGATCAGACAATATCTTCGGTGAATGTATATGGAATTAACCGTTGTTCCGCACAAGGCTGATAGCCAAAATCAAAAAGCCTTCGGATATTGCAAAACGATTTTCTGATTTGGGATGTGAAAATAAAATCCCTTTGCTAAAATATGTATTAATATTATTAGTATTATTTTTAAAAAGTCCTGTTTTAATTGTCCATTTGGATTGGTTGAATATATGTTAGATATATGTACCAGAGTTGGCTTTAAAAGTGATGGGCTTGGAAAGGAGAACTAGCCCCAGAAAACGGATACAAAAACCTTGGCCACCATAGAGTTAAACCCCTGATACGATAAACAGTTCACCCAACTATTTGCTTGAATCACCTTTTACTTCGTTTCTTGCACAAACAGATTGCTGTTAAGTCGATATTAATTATGCACAAATTTTTGGCATTATTTAAAATAATTGTAAGTATATAAATAGAGAAACCTCATGAACATAACGGCCTCTGCTTTTGTGCCGCAACAAAATGGATTAGCTGTCATTTTGGAGGCCCAATCTGGAAATCAGCGGTCGACCCTTGTCGTCTGAAATTTGTCAGTTTTTGTGCCACCAACGACCGTACATTCATTTTGTCGACATTAATTTAATAATTACTTTTAAAGGGTTTTTTTCGGCCGTTTTAAATGGTATTTTGGCCGCACAAATGGCATAAATAATAGCTGAATGTATTCATTTGACATCGGCGTAATTGAATTGTTCATGGCAGTTGTATGTATATACTATAGGTGTGAATAATTGCTATAATTGGGGCATACATTGATTGCTTCCGATGGGGGGCGCACAAGAAAGTTTAATTTGCATACATAAAAAAAAAAAAAAAAAAATTTGACATTTATTAAAATGTTGTGCATATGTAAATGCAAAAGCATTGTAAATTTGATTAATATAAAAACTGTTTACACTGTTTTTGGTTGGGTTTTTGTCACATCGCCATAAGCGACTTTTTCACGCGCCGTTGTAAGCGTGGACTCAACCGAGTGCATTCATTATTCATACTTTTATACATTTTGCACAAATTAATCAATTTAAAATTTATGGCCTGGCAGGGCACAGGGCGGCGTCATCGCACAGTAGACCGAATTAGGGCCTAATTGGATGAATTGTCAGAGGCCTTTAATTTCGTTAGTGTATTTATGCATAGTTTATGGATCGACCATCCTCTCGACATTGCAATTGTAGCTTCAATGAACTATTTCCACAAAGGAAAAGGATCAAGTGAGTCTTAATTATTTTTAACTTTGTACAAATTTGAAAGTTATAGAAAAACCTCCAATATTTATTATTATTATTTCGCTTTCTGATGAAGACAATCAGCGACACATCTCCTTGTCGATGAACTAAAAATGCCTTTAATTGTAATTGGATTATTTCATTCATTCAATTCATTTCGCATACCCACTGTGTCCACTTGGGCTTGAGCTTTAACCCTTTGCTGCCGGCTGTTGCTTTTGCCATCGGCAAATTGTGATTTGTGTTACCGGTTTTCATTTTTCTGTTTGCTTTGCGCTGACGCATTCGAAAGCTTTTGTAAATTATTACATATAAACTCGTTTCTTTTGTTATTAAATGCATTATTTAAGACGTCTCGCCCCGAGTGGCCCAAAAGGGCGCTTATGCCCACTTGTGTGTGTGTGTTTGCGAGTGGAACTTTGCAGCCGCCTTGCTTAACAGCATTGCCTCTTCATAGCTCTGTTATTTCAGCAGTGCCGTCCGCACCCCCACACGCCCCCCCTGCGTCGAAAGCCACACCAACGAGTTGGGATTTGGTTGCCTCAGTCGAATGCTGCGTGCAACGTGCTGTGGGAAACTGGTTTGGCTATTAATGCTGGGCTCAGAGACTGCTTAGAGTCCCCCTTGCCTGCGCCCCGACGTCATTGTCGCCATCTAGGCGGCATGCGCATGCCTTATGAATGATTCAAATGCACGTTATGTGCAAAAAAGTAGTGAAAAAATAAAAAAAAAGCCAACAACATCAACGAGGCCAACAAAGAAAACACCGTTAAGAGTTGCTGCTGCACTTTTACATGCCTTGATGGCTGACTAGCTGACTAGCTGACAGTCTTGTTTGCCTGACAGCGACTGAATACATACTCGTATATACATACATACATACATACATACATACATACATACATACATACATACATACATACATACATACATACATACATATGTATGTAGTATGTAGGTGTAGCAGTAGCAGCAGTTGGTTGTCGGTTTGCCATTGTTGGCTTGCTGTGGCATTTTGGCATTGCTTCTGACCTTTCTCAATGGAATTTCGTAAAGCAGCTTTTCATCTACATATGCAAGCAGCTCTTGCAACTATTTGGGATTCTGGAAATGTCGCATGCAACCAGAAGAACCGACATAGAGGCATATAAATTAAAGGCTTTCTCACCAAACAAAGGGGTCAGAATTTAGAATAAAGTATAACCTTTCAAGTTAAGAACAGCTTAAAGCTGATTAACTGCTTAAAGATGAAAACTGTCTTAATAACTTGCAACTACAGCTTATATTGTCTATAGTTTCCAGCTGTTAATAAGTGATGAACTACTTAATCTGCAACTAAAGCAGCTTTCAGGCTGTCACTGTTTCTGATCAGATAAGGAGGCAATGCGGCTGCATTGAGAGAAAAAATAGACCTGTTCTTGCAGAAATTGAGTTTGACTTTCGTATGTTGTTCACAATATATTAATTTCCAAGAATTTAGATATCTAGAAACTCTGAAATATGATATTATATGTGATATACACTTGTTATTACTTATTACATGTATGTTTGAAATTAAAATTATTGTAAATGCAATTCTGTAGGTATATATTTGAAATTTGCATATTCCTTAATATAAATTGTTCCATTTAAAGCCTTTCTATCCCTATTTCCGTTCGTAGTTTTTACGGTTTCTACAAATCAACTCAATTCTGAGTTTTGCGGAAACGAAATGCGCGCAACTCGGACCTATTAATATTAAATGTCTTTCACCCACAAATATCAAATATTGGGTAATAGGCATGGTGTCAATAGTATGTCATTACAAAAACGATATTAAAAATTTATGAGCAATAACTACAATAACAACTACAACAATGCAATCAACACGCTATTGCTATGTCGGTGACATTGTCATTTCCAATTTCTCCGCCACAAGGCAGAAATGGGAAAAAAAAGTCGATTACTACCATATTTATATTCAAAATAGATATGAAAGAAATCACAGCGATATACAACAACAATAAAATACACGCGTAACTTTCATTTTTTATGACATTGCCTTCCCCCTTCCCTCCCTCGGCCACATATACGCACACACATTTTTTGAATTTGGTGTTTACTATCATTATGTTTGCTCTTTTGTTTCTTTCATTGCAGTTGAATAATTCTCAAGGTCTTTTGGCTGCTGGCTGGCTGACTGACAGACGGACGGACGTGCGGACAGACGAATGAGCGGCCAGTGGAACTGAACCGAGGACTGAACACACAGCTTTAACAGCAACAACAACACACACGCATACAAACTGCGGCATGAGGCATTGGTCGAGGCTTGCCACCAGTTAATGAAGTGCGCATCGTCACGGCCATAAGCAGCAAAAGCGGCGGCAAACTGGACCCCATGGATCAGACACATGTGAGAGGACGTCGAAATAAAGCCAAATTGAAGGCAGCAACAAAGTGTGCGTGTGTGTGAGAGTGTGTGTGTGTGTGACTCCACCTAACATGTGAAAGCAAGAGAGTCGTTTAAGACAGAGAGCTCCCATATGTGCCAACAACAATATACGACGACTACAAGGAATTAACAGTAACACACGCTTGAGGGGAGCCAAGAGCGTAGTGAGAGCTGAGAGAGCTGAGAACGTGCGCGTGTTTAACGATAAGTCTGATAATAAACATTATACAATTTAACATAAACTAAGGCAACAACTACAACAACAGCACCAACCAAAAGCCCAAAAGCCCAAAAGCCCAAAAGCAAACATATCGACCGGAAGAAGGAAAGCAGAAGGAAACTTTAACAACAGCCAGTTAACAGCAGAGACTTAACAGTCGCCTAACATGCACTCTACATAACCGTTTAGAATTAGCATCACAATTGCGTCAAATAAGTCGCAAATCTGTACAGGACTGACCACAAAGCTAACAACAACAATAGCAACAACAACAGCAAACCAACTTTAGTTAACAGTAAAAGCAAATAAACCAAAATTTATAAAATGACGCTGTTAAGTTTCACACGCAAAATGCGGGGACGCATGCGCTCCAACACCTGTCGCATAGTTCTGCTCACCTCTCTCGTTTGGGTCATCTTTGACTTTGTGCTGATCGCCCGATATTCGGACTGCATAGGCAAGGATGGCTGGCGGTGTAAAAGGTCCGGCGAATACGATGTGGAGGTGAGTAACTCTCTTAAATAGCCCAACTTTTCAACTGATCTAAACTAATTACCCTTTAGCTACCCAACGCCGAGCGTCTGGTGGATGATAACCAATTGGTCGATGATAATGAAATCAATACGGAGAAATCGTTTGACGGTGATTCTGGGGGCGTTATTGGCGCCGGATTTGCGTCCGGCGGTATTTCGATGACTTATCGCACTTTAGTGCTGAAAAAATGGTTCCAAGCGCCCACAGTACGCGAAGTAAAGGGCAAGCCCGGTGAAATGGGTAAGCCCGTCAAAATACCGTCGGACCTGAAGGAGCTCATGAAGGAGAAGTTCAAGGAAAATCAATTTAATCTGTTGGCCAGTGATATGATCTCGTTGAACCGTTCGCTGACAGATGTGCGGCATGAGAAGTGAGTATAAGAGTGATCCAAACTAAATGTTGATAAAAATGATAAAATGAAAAAAGAGATAAAGATATTACTACTTATATACCGTGAAAACTCTCTTGGCCGGCCCAAGGGGAGTGTCCGCTTAAGGGAGTACTTAAATACTTTATATACCGATCGAATGTTTTAGAAAAAGGGACCGCCGAGGAGAGTGTCCGGATAAAAGAGGTATCCATTAAGGGAGTTTTCACTGTATATGCTTTAATATTTTCAAAAGTGGCCAATTCTAAATTATTTCGTGTTTTAATTCACAAACATTCGTTGTGTCCCACAGTTGTCGTCATAAACACTATCCCGCAAAGCTGCCCACTACCTCAATTGTGATAGTATTTCATAATGAAGCCTGGACGACATTGCTGCGTACCGTTTGGAGTGTTATCAATCGCTCCCCTCGATCGCTGCTTAAGGAGATCATACTGGTGGACGATGCCAGTGAACGAGGTATTTGAGTTGGCAACCCATCATACATACATATTAAAGAAATTAACGAGTATTTGCCACTTTTTCAGATTTCCTTGGCAAGAAGCTGGAGGATTATGTGGCCACACTACCGGTTCGCACTTTTGTGCTTCGCACAGAGAAGCGTTCGGGTCTGATACGCGCCCGACTGCTAGGCGCCCAGCATGTCACCGTAAGTCAAAAATCTCTACCTAATCATAGATACTTGTATAATATATCTCAATAATTTCCTTTTCTTATTGCAGGGTGAGGTGATTACCTTCCTGGATGCGCATTGTGAGTGTACTGAGGGCTGGCTAGAGCCACTGCTATCGCGTATTGTTCAGAATCGTCGCACTGTCGTCTGTCCCATTATTGATGTAATATCGGACGAAACATTTGAGTACATTACGGCGTCGGATTCGACGTGGGGTGGCTTCAACTGGAAATTGAACTTTAGATGGTAAGAGCTCTTTCTATACTTTAAACCCTCCCCCACTCTAGTATCTATTTCAATTTAATTTACAACTAAATTGAATATTAAGAAGTTACATATATTCAATCTTCAAACTCATTTTAAAGAATTAGAAAGCAACTAATAGAGTAAAAAGTTACTCCAATAAAAATAAATATAATGTTTAGGGTATACAAAGATGTTTTCAAATATACAATATTTGGAATTGTATAAATTATATAAATAAATTATATGTATAAACAAAATTGCTGATCGAAAACCGGGCTATACGGTAGAAGCAAATTCAAATTGTTTCATATTTTCAAAAGCCATATTTTCAGTGATCGCTTCAGACCTACAATTTAAACTGAAATCCCAAACTTTTTCAGGTACCGCGTTCCTCAGAGGGAGATGGCGCGTCGCAACAACGATCGTACGGCGCCGCTGCGAACGCCCACAATGGCCGGCGGTCTGTTCTCAATTGACAAGGACTATTTCTACGAGATCGGATCGTACGACGAGGGCATGGACATTTGGGGTGGCGAGAATCTCGAGATGTCGTTCAGAGTAAGGCTCAAAAGTTATATTTCTTCTCTCTGCCCTCTTGTTTTTGTTGTATTATTTTCCTACAGCTAGCCAAGCCGCAAAACTTGATTTATTTATTGATTTTGTTCACTTAAATTTAATTTTGTCTTAAGAATCAAAAAATGTTTTCAAATTCCAAAATTTTCTAATAACATGAAACAAATTTCACCCCAAAAATAATTTGAAAAAAAAAAATACAACACAACATCATGAACCACAATCTACAAAAAAAAACCTGGGATAGATATGGCAATGTGGCGGCATTTTGGAAATAATTCCTTGCTCGCATGTGGGCCATGTGTTCCGTGACAAATCGCCGTACACCTTCCCGGGCGGCGTGGCCAAGATTGTGCTGCATAATGCGGCGCGTGTGGCCGAAGTATGGCTGGACGAGTGGCGCGATTTCTATTATGCAATGAGTACAGGTTCGCAAAAACTATAAACCACCACCTTAACAACAAATTAAACAAATCGAAGCATATATCGTGCATCTCTAATCTCTTATACTTATCTAATATCTGTATGTACTTAATTGGTTTTGACTAAAACAACAGCAACTACAACTCAAACAACAACAACAAACAAACAGTACTATCTAATAGCTACTACCACCACCTACAACTGTTGTAACTCTGTATGCTAGTTCCGAAAAACGGCTAAATAGACTCTAGTTTCAAAAACTAAAACACTAACAACAATTTTGAAAACAAAAACCAAAAACAATATAATACCCAACTTTGTTTTGAGCATAAAGCATCAACATCCAGTTTTTCCTTATAGCTAACGTATTGTAACGATTTTTTGTGTATCTTTTATCGTACATGTATCTATTTATATTGTATCGTAAGTCTCTGACAATGCCACAAACTGAACACCCAGACACCTCAAAAGCTGCTTCCCGTGTCTCAACAAACTGTAAAAAAGAGTTGGCTTAAGGCCTTATGACACTTCACTGAAAACTAGACTACTAAAATCTTGGAACTTATAAATCCACATCCTAGTTTTAATTGCTGCTTTTTCAGCAATGAATTAGCCGGTTTGTTAGTTCTTAGTCTAGTGTCATAATGCCTTTACAAATTTATTGTTTTTATTGTTTGTTTATTTTTTTTTAATTTACGCACTGGCATCTGTTTGAATTTTCACAAAACGACTCGACCTCGGATATCGCTATAAACATTCTTTGTGCTAAATGCTTGTCGCCAATGCGTCCGAGTTTTTTCTACTAACAAAAGATACCAACACTATAATACTTGTTTAATGGAAACCTACTCATTGCCTAACCACTATGTGCCATGTACTCACAATTTTAGCGCCAATTTCTAAATAATTATGAATCCAGAATGATGCCAGCAGGCCGTGAAACATTTAAGCTAAACCGTACATTTAAAACCTACCAAATACATATTTCTGATTTACTTATTCTTTTGCTTCTTAATTTCAAATATATTTCATTGATTTAAGTACATATAAATCCTAATTGGTAATTCTAATTATTGTTAAGTTTTTAGTTAATTATTTTAGTCGTAACTAATATTTTAAAACGAATTCTCTACAATAGGTTTGCCTCAAGCTAAGAGCCCATATTTTGCTCATTTTGGTCATCTCCCCGATATAATTAAAGCTGTCCCTCTAATATTAAATATTATAAGCAAACAAACCATTACAAACTAAAATGTAAATCCTCCGTACTAGTAGATATTTACCACACGTGTCTAAAAGTAGTTTTGATTTGCGATATATTTTCTAAATCTACCAACTAATATCAGTTAGTTAGGCCCGTTATCTCAGGTTCTTGTCAAAATTAACAAGCTCTTTAAAGCAATCATGTGCCAAACCTATTGAATGCCTCACTTACCCGTTAGTTTATTTGCTGATTAAGATAATAGCCTTACAAGGAATATAATTTTTGAGTTAAACTGGCAACTCTTTTGGTAGGTGCTGCCAACTCTTTAAATAGGCGCTGCCAACATAACGATCAAATTTGAACTGTGTGCCAACTGATAAGTACTTCGACAGACACATGCAGTATGTATTAGAGTTAACTTGCTTGGACCTGTCAGCTTCGGCTTGGCAGCACATTTGTGTGGTAAAGACTGCTCTCTATCTTGATAACTCATTTTGTTTTGAATCCATCTGGGCAGAAGATGAAATAGGCAATTTTGTTGCGCTTGGTTAATTAATTTTAAAAACAATTTAGTCATCTAAACAGCTTTCTATATGTATATGTAAATGTGTCTTTCTCTCTCTCCCACTCTTTGTTTTCTACTCGCTCAACACGCTTGTTTCCCCCATAATGCTCAATTACGACTTCTTTCGATTGGGACCGCCCACCTTCAATACGTCAGGTATGGATGTGTGGCGGTGTTTTAGAAATTGCGCCCTGTTCCCGTGTGGGTCATGTCTTTCGAAAGTCAACGCCGTACACCTTTCCAGGCGGCACCACGGAGATTGTTAATCATAATAATGCTCGTCTGGTCGAGGTTTGGCTGGACGATTGGAAAGAGTTCTACTACAGTTTTTATCCAGGTTAACAAATGCTCAAAAACAAATGCTTCTTCACTCTCTATACCTCTATCTCTCTTTCTATATACATATACTATATAGATAATATAGTTTTCTGTTCCGATATTTATCGAGCAAGAAGCGCACGCTCTGCATTTTGCAATTGTCTGTCTTTTGATCTACATTTTTTGTACTTTACATCCATAGTTTGATACTCGTATATGATTTATATGGCATGGCCGTGACAACCACAACCCACTCACAATCAAAAATCCAAAAAGAACCCCCAACAACAAAATATATAAAAATAAAATTCACCACCATGTATATTTGATTTGCAAATTGTCTTCAGTTGCTTTGTGAGTCCAAAAAAAACTGGGCTCCAATATCTATACTTTGTCCTTTCGTTTTGTCCAACACCCGTTCCAGCACACCCACACCGACAAGCACACTGACACACAAATACACACACATGAGCATATCCAAGCAATGTTGGTGCCCCTTTTTTGGTCCTCCGATATGCATATAATATATGTATGTATTGTATATTCCTACCTATCAATGTGTTCTTAGTTACTAATAATATTTAAGCATATGATTTGCTTGTACTTTTTCGCTTTAAATGTCTTATAAATGTACATACTATACTGCATGTTATTAACTACTAATAGTTTTGGGTAGCAATCAGCTTATGTACGAGTGGTCAGGAGCTTTAGCTAATTGCTGTGACATTTTACTGTTGGAGGACTCTGACACAAGCTGCTTGCCATGGGAATAATCTAGAGCTGGAAACCAAATCCATCGATGCTTTCTATTATTCTTTTAGAAATTCGAACAAAAAAACGTTAAAAACATCGATCGATTGATTTTCAAGTCTATAATCAACACGCTGCAGATATGTAAATAGCTTTCAATTACACACTCACAAAACACACACACAGAGACTCACGTATTCATACTATATGTGCTAGCTTTTATCCTTGGAACTCCTTTTGATCTATGGTTTATTATTCTATCCCCGTTTCTAACGCCAATTCCATAAACTAAAGGCGCACGCAAAGCTTCAGCCGGCGATGTCAGTGATCGCATCTCGCTTCGCGAACGCCTGAAATGCAAGAGCTTCCGCTGGTATCTGGAGAATGTCTATCCGGAGAGTTTAATGCCGCTCGACTATTACTATTTGGGCGAGGTAAGCAAGCACTTTGTTCCTGTAATGCTGATCCAAATTTTACGGAAATGTTGACTAAATGTTCACAAAATTCCCAAATACTGTAACATTTCTTCTCCAATAGATACGCAACTCGGAGACTGAAACCTGCCTGGACACTATGGGCCGCAAGTATAATGAGAAGGTCGGCATTAGCTACTGCCACGGCCTGGGCGGCAACCAGGTGTTCGCTTACACCAAACGTCAGCAAATCATGTCCGATGATTTGTGTTTGGACGCGGCCAGTGCCAATGGGCCCGTCAACATGGTGCGCTGTCACAACATGGGCGGCAATCAGGAGTGGGTCTATGATGCAGAGGTATGTGATTTATCGAAATAATTAACTTTATACCAAAATCTTAACTATAATTTTCTTTTATCTGATTGGTTTTGCAGGAGAAATGGATTCGTCACACAAACACGGGGCAGTGCTTACAGCGTGCCACACGGGACGATGCGAGCACGCCGCTGCTCCGGCCATGTGATTACTCCAAAGGCCAGCAATGGCTGATGGAGTCCAAGTTTAAGTGGCAGGCGCATTAGTGACGCTAGGACTCCATTCTAAGGACTTCCACTTTTGTGTTTTTTTCTCTGTTCATATGCGATCGCAGCTGCTTACAAGATTTCCAACACACATTACTTTCGTTCACTTCTAGTTTAGTTAAGTTTAGCTAAGTTTAGACTTAAGTTAAATGCCTCGATGTCTGTGGCAAATATGTCTTCCCAATTCAATGTACAGTGTCTCAAATCTTTGATAAGCCAACGAAAGCAAGGAATGCTTAAATTTATTATAAACTAAAGTTTTTCTCAACTTTAACTTCAGAAAACACCAAACTAAATTAAAATCTTTAGTTGTGTAATAAAAGAGTTACATATCTTTGAAAATTAGCCCCAACACTTCACAATATTGAACAGTCTCCTCTTCCAAATCTCTGCCTTTAATCAGCATTATAATTTGATCTGATCTAATAATCACGGTCTTCGATATATGAAAAAAGATCTTAGTTCATCTGAGGTATCATATTCTTTATTAGTTAATCCCTAGACTTTAGCATCAAAATCTTGACTGTAGCTTGTCACTACAATTCATTATACATAGTAATAGCACTTTCTTAGCTATTATTACTGTAAAGGGCTATGGTGCTTCTGAAATATGAACAGTTCTTTAAGATAATACTTGATAAGATGATGACACCTTTGAATGATGATGACTTTTCTTGAAGATGATGATACTCTTTAGTGATGGTACATCCTAGAAATAATGGTATATTTAAAAGATGACGATATTTCTTAAAGATGATGCTACGAATCTTGTTCTGAGTGACAGTCAAACCTGCTTGCTGGAGAATTTTATAATAATCCAACTGCTTAGCAGTATAAGAAGAAAGATTCTTGATTTCTTTCACAAGCTACCACGTGCGTTTTCTGCAAAATAATTACACTGACACTTATTATTTTTGCACCAATATTTTCTCTTAACTTCTTTATTGTTTCCTAAGCTGTGTCTTCAGATAAGATAATCTAAAAATGATTATAGAAAATAATAATGATTGAGACCTGCCACAAAGCTTCTTCATTCAAAGCTTTAACAAGCATTTGAGTCACTGTACGTGTTGTAGAGTTTAGTTTTATCTGATTTTGTCGAGATAACGAATTGTAAAATAATTACCCCTAACGTCGACCAAGTACCAAACGATTGGCATTTAAATGACAAAAGTGTGACAAAGGAGAAAAATAATATTGATATACATTTAGTATAAATGTATATACTTGTAAGCAGACCTGTTGGGGTGGTCCTCATGTGTCATAGGAAAACGAAACCCCAAACCGCAGCCCTCACCAATTTCTAGAGTTTTACCAGCTTAGAATTGCTTATGCCAACTTAAAGTTGGACACACAAGCACTCACCATATCTATACCGATGTAACATTCCTAGCTATATATACATACATACTATATAATGCCAGCGCACTTCTTGTTCGTTTTGAGTTGCGTTCGAGACTTGAGTTATAGTTGTCGGTTAATTTAATTAGATTTTATTTAGCACGCGAAACAGGTTGTATATTTTAGCGGAAAATCCAAATACTATATTGTGGCTTCTTTGGCATATTTTGAAGAAACTATTCTATTGCTTTAAACCAAAAAAAAAAAAAAGAAATTATATTACAAATAATTATGAAGAGCACGTTTTAGGCCCCATATCGTAAACGCTTCGAAATCATAATCATTATACAAAACTAAAACTAAAAAAATGCACGCATATCATAAATACAGTGTAAAAATGAAGAACTAAAGTCTATAAATTATCAAAAGGAATCCGTGAAAATGTTTGTTGTACATAATCTAAAGTAGCTATTAAAAATATACAACTAAAGTAAATATTTATATATACGTCTTACATATACTATATATACATATAGATGCGAAGCAAGCAAACTGTACTATAAAAGAAATATTGCGCCTAGCATTAAGTGTCGATGTAAGCTAAAGGTTTGCGTTTATACATAGACTTAATTCCCGATTTGCTTAGAAACATAATCACCCGCTCTAAAGCAGAGACGACAACTTAAAGACAATTAAAAAGAATATATAGTATATATATACGTGTACAACTACTAAAATTGCTCAAATGGACTTCAGCCCTTCCATTATTGTGTAAATATTATGTGTACGATCTAAAATAATAATATTCTCAATCAAAAGCAACCTGACTTTTCAAAGTATCCACAAAATAGCAAACGTAAAGCTCCCAACTCACCCAAAACACACAGTAAAACTTTTTAGATAAATTAATTTTTTAACAATAATACATCTATATGCTAGTTATACATAACTACAATATGTATGTAACTATTAGTAACTATTTTAACTGGTGACGGTGGTGCAATTTTAATTTTAGTCTATAAATATTAAACACCAAACAAATTCATTAAATTTTATGACCAGCAAGTGAAATGAAAGTTAAAATTAGGCAGACAGACAGACAGATGGGAAGGCCGACACACAAAATCTCCTAAATGAAAGGGTATATTATAGTCTATATACACCATATACATATATCTACTGTATACAACAATAAACCGCCTATATGTTTAACATTGTTGAGTAATATGTTTAGCTAAATATAATTTTATAATTTCAATGTAAAAGTGAAAGAAAGAAAAACTATTTTTCTCTTCTCATTTTTTATTTTTGTTCTGAAATTTTATAAATAAACAAAAATTTAAGAAAATTCCAAAAATCAACCATTTTTTATTCTATTCATAACGATAACGGAAGTAAGGAGCAAGCTGTCTGAGCCCGTGCAAGAAGAATTATCGAAGAGCGCTTCGGTATTTAGCTTCCGATATGGATTAACTTTTAAATGAACTGTTTACAACAATATAAATATTCCAATAAAGATATTGAGAGATACCTCAGGATATTCGGTATCCGATTGAAAATACTTGTACTATTATATATAAAAAGGTAATACTTTTTCGATTGATATTTAAGAGGAATTATTTAGCTACATGAGCTCAACAACTTTGTACAGCCTTTGAAAAGGATTTCGTATTGTTTAGGAAATAGTAGGTTTTTCTGATTGCTGAGTAATGACTTCACTTTTGTAGTATTTTTAACTTTTTAACGAAGCACTATACTATTCGGAATTGTTGTCTCTGTCTAATGTCCGGCATTCCCATGGAATGTTTTGATCTCTGCAGGTTCCGATTAGAATTTAAATACCTAGGGAATCGTTTTTGCCGACTCTTGATCTTTGTACTGGAGATAGCTTTTTCTAAAAAAAAGTCTGATTCTTCCAAATTTAACTTTGGAGGATTACTCATACCTTTATTCCAAGTGTCTCTTAGAAGCTGTCATGGCAGTATTCTTCACGATGGATTCCCGGTTACATATGTCTGTATATAATTATATAAAAGCCCCGCTCTTTCAAATCAAACACAATTCAACTTTCTCTTACTTATAAAAGTAAAATCCGTTTTTAATTTTTCACTTTTGCTTTACAAATAAGCACAAAACGTTGTAACCGGCGCGGCGCAAACCACAGAAAATTGCGAAGTTGGGAAACTTTTAGAGAACTAAAATAAACTAACAGTGCATGTGTTTACTGTTCCTTTGTTTCGCGCAGACGACGCACAGCGGAGCGCACGGATGCGGCGGCTGTCGTTGAGTAAACCCAAGCACCACCGGCCACTGTGCGCTTGCAGCGTTTGCAGGACCAGATGCCGACAACAGCGCGCTTCATGGAATCCTGCACGAAAATAAGTCAATTACTAAAAGTTTTTAATACTAGTTTAGGCCAGAGAACCCACCTTGCCGCAGAAGGAGCAGGTATATTTGCTGTGCTGGGTGATTTCCATTTTTTTGACCATCTTACGCAAAGAGGCACCATAGCGAGTACCATATTTACCAACGATTCCAACCTTCTTGGTGCGCTTGGCCTGTGGTGATAGGAAGAACGAAAACACAATTACCAATTTTGCAGTTGTTGGAGATAATATGCAGTTTACACACAAAATGCACACTTAAATATGTGGTTCATTTATAGATTGAGTTATCAAATATGTATTTTAACCACTTCCACTACGGATTACAAATATTTTTTGCGATTTTATCGAAATTACCATTTTTAAGTTGTTGATTTGTCAAAAATTTCAACAGGAAAGAGATGAGCAATGTGACCACATACAGAAACTGAAAAATACCGAAAAGTTTAGGTAATCTTGCAAAATACCACTTGAATTTTTTAATACTTGAAAAATATATAATAACATAAATAAATTTGCGATATATTTATTATTATGCAACAATAGCTGAATACCAGAAGGTCTTCAACTTATTTTAATATAAATAATGAATTAAAAAAGTTCGATTGCAATTTCGCGTTTGGATATAATTAAATAGATTTGTGCGAAGAATCATTTACAAGCAGTATTATCAACTTTAAATCTAAATAATTTGATGTTATGTTGCTGGGCTTGTAGAAAATATATCTATATAATAATATCACATATATAAATATGTAAGCACCAAATTTAAAAATTTTTAAAAGTTTTAGTAGGCATTGCATTTAAAATACTGCGTTGCGACTGACTGTTCTCTGACGTGAAGTTGGGTGCGCTTTAACGAGGGGGACTGACAAAAAGCTGCCTGCTAGCCAATGGCCATTCAGAACGACTCGGTCAACATAAATTTGTTTTTGATAGTTCTAATCAGCTGATGCGGCTGGTATCACGAGCGAGTCAGTTTACTACGTTTTTGCGCATCAAATGCAACGAAAGAGCAATAGCGATATTAACAATAGTAGCGAAAACAACGGCGCTGCGGAAATGCAATGCTGTACACTGCTCCAAGATGCAGCTGCCTATCAACCGGATACGCTGGATCTCAACACAGATGCCAAGGCGGCGCAATATTGGTTTGAAAAATTTCGTGAGTTGATTATAAAATTTGCCCAACAAGCGGTGGTCAGCCAAGTGGACGATGAAACGGCTGAGGACCGGGCGGCGCAATTTAAAGCGGCGTACCTGAAAAAGCTAAACGAATATCAGAGCAATATCGCCAAGAACAGCGGAAAGACTGTGTTGGGTACACGAGAGCTTCTTCAATTGAACGAAATACAATTGCGGCGCTTTGGCTTCACCGATCCTTGGCTGCGTCAGAAGCAGGTGGAGAACGCAACGGCCAAGGCACGCCTTAAAGACCGCTTGCAGGAGATCGATGCCATCGAGAATGATGATCTGCGTTGGACAGAGCTCGTCCGTGGAGTGCTGGCGGGCAACATGTTCGATTGGGGCGCTCAAGCTATAGCAAGCATTTTGGAACAGGACAGTACCTTTGGATTGCATGCGGCATTGGATCGAATAGAGCGTAGACCGTGGCTAGTTGACGATCTCGATGCGTGGCTGCAACGTCTACATGTAATGCCGCAGCAGTTGCCACACAAGTGTGCCGTCATCTTCGTGGACAACAGCGGCGTCGATGTAGTGCTCGGCGTGCTGCCCTTTGCGCGTGAGCTGCTCAAGCGTGGCACCAAAGTGCTGCTCTGCGCCAACAGTGAGCCCTCTCTAAATGACGTCACTAGTCGCGAACTGACGACCCTGTTGGACGACTGTGCTTGTCAGTGCAGTGTTTTGAGCACCGCCTGGTCAACGGGCCGTCTGCTTGTCTATGCGAACGGCCAGAGCGGACCCTGCCTGGATATGCGCGCCCTGCCCCAAGAGCTGTGCGACGCCATCACCGCCAATGAGACTGATCTGCTCGTCATCGAGGGCATGGGCCGAGCGGTTCATACCAATCTGAATGCCCGATTCAATTGCGAAACCCTAAAGCTGGCCGTGGTAAAGAATAATTGGCTGGCCAAATATTTGGGCGGCGATATGTTTGCGGTCATTTGCAAGTACGAGAATAGCTAATGCTGGAAGGCAGAAAACAGGTTGTTGTTGATCTTTTTATTTATAAAGGCGTGCGCCATTAATTTTAAAAATTATTGTTTATCCAAACTGAGATTTTTAGTTGTGTACATCATCCCAGTGTCTCTTATGTCTGTCTAACGGAAACGCGGTTGGACCGCGACGCCTATTCGACTGTACTCTAAATATATTACCAACAAACTGTTCCCATCACTTTTGATTTTGGTAATAACAGCGACGCCATTGCGGCCATGTAATTGTCTGATTACATAAAACAATGAACATTTGTTTGCTGCAACCATTATTGTCAATTGTTTTGGTTCGAGAAGGGGAGTAACTACTTACCTATTAATATTAATACATACATACCTAAGCAAACATTTAAATGATTAAAACAAAGCAAAGCAAATCTAAACCATAAACCACCAAGACTTTGTTTGTTTACCTACTAAGGCCCATCAAATTTTATCGGTCATGGTTTTAAAGTGGCTGATAAGCACAGCGATTGCTGCCTATATACAAAGTTGTATACTAAATACATACATACATACATATGTAAATGGGTATGTCTACTGATAACATATCTGGACTTTGTGGTGTGAATATTCAGTAAATCAAATTGTTTTGTAGCTATACAACGGACAGATATATGATGAGTAGGCGCGTGATTAAGTCCTCATTATAAAGTTGTGGCAAATATAATAAGAGGCTCATCACTATGATTTGCTCTGGGCTGATAAGACTGCTATGTACTTTAATTGACATATGTATGTACATATGTACATATTTATATTTGTGCTTTAAATACTTTTCATTTTGCTTCGACTTTCGGCCGAGCCAAGTGGTCGTTATCAGTATGCTATATGTACCCCGTAGGAAATGGTTATTGAACTTAAACAGAAGTGCAATCAGTGTGTGCGTTAATCTCATTAGGGTAATCAATAAATAATAAAATAGAGGAAAACGGCAGCAAAAGCTGCCAAGAGCAAATATCGAGAAGCAAAGCGAGGTTCTTACCGATAACAAGAGTTATTAGGATAATTGGCAATTACGATTTCGATAAGTCAAAAATCATCGATTACAGCCTTTGCATAAAATAAATTGAATTTTTTCGTAACTGTAACTAATTGGATTGGATTGGCTCGTTTCTATAAAATAAAGCAAAGAAAAGGCTTAAAGAGTACAAATGGCTCGCTAGGTGGAATATAAATAAACAAACAATAATGCTTACATGTTGAAAATGAGAAACAAATAGAGATTCCACAGTGCGTCGAAAAAAGCTTCGTATGAATAGAAATGATAATTTTGTTAGCTCTTGGAGTAATCTAAAAATACTTTTGAAAGTCATTTAAGTATATACAAAACAGATTGTTTACGTTATTTTGCATATTTTTTATTACTTTCTTCGTACTACATATATAGAGCAGTAAAATAATCTACAGAATTCGCAGATTATTTTTATTAATTATATCAGCGCGCTCAGACATCTTATCAAATAAATTAAGTAAAATTGGCAATAGCTGCTCGAAACAGTGTAGCCTCATTAAAGAGTTTGAAAATACAAAATGAATAGAAATAGTGATAAGTTAAAACAGTTAAATTTTAGTTTCTTTCAAATTTTCAAGAATAAGAAGAAAACTGTTATTGTTAACTCTTTTAACTAAATAGGTATTAACGATAAAAGTTAATTTGTAACTATATTTGTAAAGATTGAAAAAAAAATCGTTCAAAGGTCGGTTATAGTTTTAAGCAACTTTGAAAACTAATAAGTTATTAGTTTATTAAAATAATCATATGTCGATATTATTATTCCTATTATGTATAAATATTGAATAGAGACTTGTTTAAATAAATAAGAAAAAGTATTGGAAACCGTTTATTCTTGATTAGTTCGTGAATTTCCTTGATATTTGTAAATGTTGTAATCAAATACACTCTTCTTCCATGCTCAAAAACCAGAGACTCCACTTTTGAGCTAAAGAAGCAGCCTGAAATCTAATAATCATAAATACAAGTACAAGTCTTTTTCAATATCTCTTCCATACAACTTCCATACTCTCACATGTAAAAAAATTTTGTTTGAAATTCTTTTAAATATATACAAAGATAGATCGGTGAGCTGAGCTGCCGACGATGCCGCATCCCAGGCATCAGTTAAGATCCAGCGGCTGGGGCTGCACGCACGTGAAGCGCGGCAACATGTATCTGATTATAACGGTGGGCCTCCTGATTCTGCACATCGCACTCCTGCCGATATATCTCTATCTGACATGGCACCACAAGTATTGGCGTAAGCGTGGATTGATCACAGCCCGCCCGCTCACTCTGCTGGGCACCTATCCGGGCATATTGACGCGCTCGCGTAATCTCGTGCAGGACGTTCAGAAAGTATACAAGTGAGTATTGAAGATACCCTCATCGATGGTTACGATTTGATGAGTTTCATCAAACCCAGCAAGTACAAAGGAAAGCATCGCGCCGTGGGCGTCTTCGTCACCCGTCAGCCCCAAATACTGGTACTCGATCCACTGCTGGCACACGAAGTACTCGTAACAAACTTTCGATGCTATCGGGACTCCCTACCTAGTGATTACATCAAACACGCTAGAAGCGATAAATATGCGCGTCGTAATCCCTTCTGGGCTTCAGGAGAGACTTGGCGCATTCTGCGTTCGGATGGTCAGGCGGGCATCTGTACCCACCGACTGAAACAGGCGTATTCCATCTGGGAGCATAGTGGAAAGAAGCTGATGGAGTACTTGACCGAGCAGGTATCGCTCCACAACAATGTTGTGGAGGCACGAGACGTAAGTTGTCCTCTTTTTGAATATATAAAAAAGCCAAGAATACATAAAAAATTACAATCAATAGTAATAACTATACACTCAGAAATAAAGTAGCCTCCAAAGAAGTCACGTTGATTGCCAAATATTTAGAAATTAAACAAAATTGTAATGAAAACTGTTTGCTGAATGATTTTTAGGAGCAATTACTGAAACTATTTTAAATGCAAATCTGTCGACTTCCAGCTCTGCTTTCGCTACACTGCCGATGTTATGGCTGACTTTATTTGGGGCATCGATGTCGGCACACTGACTCGTCCCGGAGAGCGAAATAAGATTCAGGAAATGGCCAGCAAGTGGACCAACTATGCCTTCTATATGCTATCTATTTTCATGGCCTCTATAGTAGCACCCATAAGTCGCCTAATCTTGCGTTTGCGTTTCTATCCGAAAGATACAGATGATTTCTTCTCTAATCTTACCCATGAGTCCATCCAGCTTCGTCTCAGTGCTGGCGACTCCTGCAACCGCAATGACTATCTTTCCCATTTGCTGGAGCTGCGTGAGCTTAAGAACGCCAGTCACGACGATCTGGTGGGTCACGCATTGACTGTCATGCTGGACGGATACGACACTACGGGAGCGGCTTTACTACATGCGCTCTATTATGTATGTTTCTTTAACGCTTGCAAAACTAGAACTATAACTTGCAGAGAATTTAAATATTTTAAATTAATATTACTTTTCCTTTCGATACACACAGCTCTCGGGAAATTCCCAGGCACAACAAAAGCTGCGAAACGAACTTTTGCAGAATTTGAACAGCGACAAAAGTATTAGCTACGAACAGCTCTGTGGCTTGCCCTATCTGGAACAGTGTGTCTATGGTAAGTGCTATATGAATTTGTTTACTGGATTCCTAGCCTGTACTTACCGGTTTCTTTCGGATTCCCAGAGTCTTTACGACTGAGCAGTTTGATACCGCAGTATACGAAAATTTGTACGCGTCCCACAAACATTTTGCTCAACCCCCAAAAGATATTGGAGGTGGAGGAGGGCATGACGATCATGATTCCCAATTATCAGTTCCACCATGACAAACAATACTTCCCAGAACCGGAGGCCTTTCGGCCCGAACGTTTCGACGGCGGCTTACATCACGAGCTCATAAAACTTGGCCATTTACTACCGTTTAGCGATGGACCGCGTATTTGTATGGGTGCGTTATAAATGTGTCAAGTCTGGGGGTATAACCATGTAATATATATATCTGGGCTTATTATTTTAGGAAGACATTTGGCGCTGCTGACGCTGAAGTCGGCGTTGTTGCACATTATCAGCGAGTTTCAGGTAGTGCGTGGCAGAGAAAAGATCAGAGTTGGGGGCGACTCAGGTTTCGGGATTGTGCTGCAAGGCGATGTAAAACTGGAATTCCGACAATTCGTCAGATGAATCAAAGTTGTTTCCACCGATAATCAGGCTACCATTGATTTATATTGCTAACTGAAGAATAAGCGAAAAATAAATCCGATATCTGTATTTCATTTTAATATAATAAATGTTACTGCTGAAATTTTAAATAAATATTTAATATAAGCAGACAAAGTTTGAATAAAAAACCATTTATTTGTTTCATAATATAATAATAATATTTTATAACGCTAATATTTATGTACTCATTTATGTATAGTACATTTAAGTTTCATTGAATGTCTCAGTTCTTTAGTTGGTGAAGCCGTTCCACGATCGTTCGGGACACATTTTGAATGGATATCATGGAAAATTCAATCAGGTGTACCCCTAAGTGGCACTATTTTGCGAGGTTCCACTATACACCTCACTAGTATACAAGTATATCACAAAGTGTAGATTAAATCTTAATCTGTCTGCGTTCAAATAATGGGCCAAGTTGTTTGTGTTAAATTTGAATTATGCTACTAATTCTTACTTACAAGAACCAGAAAAAATGGCTTGATTGGCGATAATGAAGGTCTAATCTTTTCTTTTACTATCGTAGGGGAATCGACTGTTTTTATTAATTGTACCCAAAGGTGGAAAGGGTGTATAAGTAAGTCCGTCCGTCTGAATTTCAAAATCGGTTTGTTTACAGCAACCAATCTTGATGTGTAGATTCTGCTACTACGAAGGAAGCTCAGTTTTATGTTATTTACTTTTTATCATTTCACTATTCAAAAGTGTACTTAATCTGTAAGCAACTCTAAGCCCATATTTCAATTCAGATATTCTGAAGAAAAGCTTCTACTGTAACAATTTTGAGTCCGTGAGTCGACTTCCACTTTACTCTGTTTTGTACAGTGTATTTTATGTTCGCTGCAACTCGACTGAAATATGCCCTCACTTTTTGGCAGCTATTTATCAACACAGACTGATTTGAAGCTTATCAGCCTGTTGCTGAAATAGTTCTCGAACAGCAAATGCATCGATCTGTTTCATTAGCTTATAGACTCGACCTGCGTGATGTTGACACTAATTGCGTTGCTGCTGGGCGCATTGCACGTCGCCTTCTTCGGCGTCTATTTGTATCTCACGTGGCATCATCGGTACTGGCAGAAAAGGGGTTTGCTCACAGCCCAACCTCTGACGCTATTAGGCACCTATCCAGGCATATTGACGCGCTCACGTAATCTCGTGGAGGATATACAACAGGTGTACGAGTAAGTAACTAAGCTATATACAGCTGGGATGAGGATTTCATGATTTTAATTGACCCTAGCAAGTATAAGGGCAAGCATCGCGCCGTGGGCGTCTTCGTCACCCGTCAGCCCCAAATACTGGTACTCGATCCGCAACTGGCCCGCGAAGTCCTTGTCACTAACTTTCGCTGCTATCGGGACTCCCTACAAAGCGATTATATAAAAGATGCTAGGAGTGACAAGTATGCGCGTCGTAATCCCTTCTGGGCTGCGGGAGAGACTTGGCGCAGTCTGCGTTCGGATGGTCAGGCGGGCGTCTCTACCCACAGACTGAAACAGGCGTATTCCATCTGGGAACATAGTGGAAAGAAGCTGATGGAGTACTTGACCGAGCAGGTATCGCTCCACAACAATGTTGTGGAGACACGAGACGTAAGTTGCCTTTATTTCAGGATTTAATTTGCGAGACTGAGAACTGATTTAATGCAAATTGTTTGTCTCATCCCCAGCTCTGTTTTCGCTACACTGCCGATGTCATGGCTGACTTTATTTGGGGCATCGATGTCGGCACACTGAGCCGTCCTGAGGAGCCAAATAAGATGCAGGAAATGGCCAGCAAGTGGACCAGCTATGCCTTCTATATGTTATCCATTTTCATGGCCTCAATGGTGGCTCCCATTATTCGAATAATCTTGCGCATGCGTTTCTATCCGATGGAAACGGATGATTTCTTCTCCAATCTCACCCATGAGTCCATCAAGCTACGTCTCCGTGCTGGCGATTCCGGCAACCGAAAGGACTACCTATCGCATTTACTTCAATTGCGTGAGTCGAAGCTGGTCAGCCACGATGATTTGGTGGGACACGCGTTGACTGTCTTGCTAGATGGCTACGATACTACGGGATCGGCACTGATGCATGCGCTATATTATGTAAGTTGCTATTAATAGTTCATCCGAAAGAACTACAACTCTCTCCACATTTTCCCTAATAACCCTACATTGTCTTTTGAAACTTAAAAACAACAATAGTTGTAACTATTGGCATTTTTGTTTTGTATGTCCTCTAATTTCGATAAGAATTCACGATTCTAATTAAAACATTTTCATTTTAAATATAGTTTTTACCAGACAGTTCTATATTAGTTTAAATTCAAATCAATATCATTTTGTTCTTCTATCCACACAGCTCTCTGGAAATCCTGAAGTACAACAAAAGCTGCGAGACGAAATTTTGCAGAATTTGAACAGCGACAAAAGTATTAGCTACGAACAGCTCTGCGACTTGCCCTATCTGGAACAGTGTGTCTATGGTAAGTGCTATATGAATTTGTTTACTGGGTTCCTAGCCTGTACTTACCGGTTTCTTTCGGATTCCCAGAGTCTTTACGACTGAGCAGTTTGATACCGCAGTATACTAAAATTTGTACGCTTCCCACAAACATTTGCCTGAACCCTCAACAGATGTTGGAGGTGGAGGAGGGCATGACGATCATGATTCCCATATATCAGTTCCACCATGACAAAGAATACTTCCCAGAACCGGAGGTCTTCCGGCCCGAACGTTTCGACAATGGCTTACATCACGAGCTCACAAAACTTGGCCATCTGTTGCCGTTCAGCGATGGGCCTCGAATTTGTATGGGTGCGTTATAAATGTGTCAAGTCTGGGGGTATAACCATGTAATATATATATCTGGGCTTATTATTTTAGGAAGACGTTTGGCGCTGCTTACGCTGATGTCGGCGCTGTTGCACATTATCAGTGAGTTTGAGGTTGCGCGTGGCAGAGACAAGATTACAATCGGCGGAGACTCAGGTTTCGGGATTGTGCTGCAAGGCGATGTAAAACTTGAATTTCGACGATTCGTCAGATGAATCAAACTTGTTTAATTCTCTCAGCAGGTCATTAATAATTGAATTAAGTTAATAAATTAAGTTCTACGAGTATTAAAGAAAATTTTCTATTTTGCATATTCCTTTCATAGTTCGAAATTCAAAACGATTGCACTTTAAATGTGAAATTCTTTAATATTCGGGTGTAGATGATTTCCGCATGAGTTCTTCTAAGCTAGAAAAGGTTATGGGAAAAAAGAACAAGTATTCTAAACGGACCAAACCTTGTTATCATTTGTGCAGATGGATTGATAAAAAGCTCACGATTAATTCGATTTGCAGTGATCAAAAATATAGCTGATTTACACATATTCGTAGTGCTACGAGTTACGAAATTGGGAGTCGTAATAAGGTCTGTTTAATTCTTTCATTACGAATATACTAGCTAGATTAGTTAAGTATTTCATTCCCAGTGTCTAAAACAAACCAGTGCCTATGAAATTCGTTCGCCCCACTGTGAAACTTCTCTGTTATCAAGGGCATGGGCAGGGTGGCCTGGGGGGGAGCGTTGTCCCCTTTTACAAAAATTTTTGCCATACATATAAAGTCGACCACACGTTCATTATTATGACGCACTATTTCGCCTTAAAATGGGTCTGAGTTGGATTAGTTGAAGTTATTTTTTAAATGCATCGTGCATTAGTTAATCAAAATTTAATTTTTTTGTCCCCACCTTTGGTAAAAGCAGCCTACGCCCTTGTCTGTTATCAAAGGTTATATCACAAAATTTAGATTGAATCTTAGGCATTCTACATTAGAATGAGAGGCAAGCAAGTTACTTCAATCCCATGAATAAATAACGATAACAGCCTGTCAAAAGCATATTTCAATTATAATTAAAACCAGATTATTCGCCGTAGAGAGAGAGGGAGAGAGAGATAGAGCCCCTTCGGCGCCAAACAAGTATTTATACAGGGTGCCCCATCTTTTATGTCGGTATGTAAACATTGAATATCTTTGAAAATAAACAACCGATTTTCAAGTATGAGATATTTTTATTTAATTTGGTTCTGTACAATTTCTTGAACTGAGGTTTTCAACACTGGTCTACTCAAGTCAATCGGTTCACTAATGACAAAGTTATTCAATATTTACATACCGACATAAAAGGTGGCGCACCCTGTATATATAAGTGATCTGTCGATCTACACTGTAAAGTGTGGAGTTTATTTTCGTGTTTATGTTCCTATATATCTCACTCTTCAGAAGGTCATTATTACATACACAATTCCAGATACGGGTATGTGAACGGAGTGCAGGGTATTTTATGGTGTGCCTAGCTCAATAGGAATACTATATGCTCTGGTTTGTTTTGACAGCAACTTATCAGCTCATACTGAGTACAGGCTTTTATCAGCTCGTTGCTAATCAAATAGTTCAGGTAGAGCTATTGCATCGATCAGTAAGTAGTACGAGTTGGGAGCTCCGACCTGCGCGATGTTAACACTAATTGCGTTGCTCCTGGGCGTATTGCATGTGGCCTTCTTCGGCGTCTATTTGTATCTCACCTGGCACCATCGCTATTGGCAGAAGAGGGGCTTGATTACAGCCCGGCCCGTGACGCTGCTAGGCACCTATGTGGGGCTGTTTACGGGCGGACGAAGCTTTATGCATGAAGTGCAGGATGTCTATGAGTAAGTTTGGAGCAGCACTTAAGTGGCATTACCTAAAACGTTTTCTATTTGCTGCAGCAAATACAAGGGCAAAGAACGAGCTGTGGGTGTGTTTTTCACGCGTGAGCCACAAATACTGGTGTTGGATCCACAGCTAGCTCACGAGGTGCTAGTGACGAACTTCAGTGACTTCCGTGACACGATCAGCAGTACGTTTGTTGGGTATGTGAGATCCGATAGGTTTGTGATACGGAATCCGTTCTTCACGACCGGCGACGACTGGAAGAGACGGCGTACAGACATAGGTGGCGGACTCACGTCCAATAAACTGAAGCAGGCCTATGCGATTTGGGAACAAAGCGGCAACAAGCTGCTCAACTATATGGAACAACTAATAGAGAAGGAGGGGAATGTCATTGAAACCAGAGATGTAAGTGAGGCTGAAGAGAGTTATTCATTTATTGAATTGATATTACTTATAGCTCTGTTATCGCTACTCGGCCGATGCTATGGCCGATTTTATTTGGGGCATTGATGCGGGCACGTTGACTGCTGGCATCAATGCGTCCAGTCATTTCCAGAAGGTGTCCAGCACCTGGACAGTGAAAGTGTTTAGCAACTTTACGCTCTTCTCTCAAACGGTCATTGCGCCATTTGTACGAAAATTGTTTCAGTTACGATTTTTCCCGAAGCAAACGGATGAGTTCTTCCTGCAACTTACAGCGGATGCCGTCCAAATGCGTCTGAAGTCAGGCTCTGGAGCACAGCGCTCCGATTATCTCTCACATATGGTGCAATTGATGGAACAGAAGGGTGCTACGAATGATGACCTTGTGGGGCACGCTCTCACGGTTCTGCTGGACGGCTACGAGACTTCGACGGGTGTGCTTTACCAAATGCTCTACATGGTAAATAGTTGCGTATTTAGGCTCTTCATTTGCATTCAAAACATATTCCTATCAGCTGGGCGAATACCCTGAAGTACAGCAGAAATTGAGAGCGGAAATTGTTGACGCACTCGCGGCTGATAAGAACATTAGTTACGAGCAGCTGACGACTCTCCCCTATCTGGATCAGTGTGTTAATGGTGTGTTGAAATGATTATTTAATCTATTAAATATCTAACAAATCATAAACGCAGAATCTCTGCGCCTATCCAGTATCATAGGAACACTGACAAAGCTCTGCACCAAGGCCACAACCATCGATTTGGATAATGGCAGAAAGTTGCAAGTGGAGCCCGGTACCAGCATTATGGTGCCGGCCTATCAATTCCATAACGATGCAAGCTACTACCCGGAACCGGAAGTGTTTAAGCCCGAACGCTTTGAAAATGGGGCGCACAACGAGTGCACCAAGCGGGGATATTTCTTGCCCTTTGGCGATGGACCACGCATTTGTCTGGGTGAGTTCAAAATAATATAATGAAAAAAAGTTCCATAAAAAGTTGTCAATCAACAAGTATAGCATAGATGGGATATCACTAATATGCTATATTTAATATAATTGTCTTTTCAGGAATGCGCCTTGGACTGCTGAATATAAAAATGGCGCTTTTTCGCATCCTTTCCGAGTACGAAGTCTTGCAGACTAAAAAGGTGCCTAAGACAGCCGATTCGGTGCTTGGCTTGTATCTAAATGGTGATATTGAATTGAAATACAATAAATTGAATAAATAAATAAAATATTGTTCTCAACATTAAGTGGGTCACACACCAATATGGTCTGATACTTTCGCTTGTGTCGGCTTCTCATTGCTGGAGCTTGCAATATTCGTAGAGAGCGTGTGTTGGACTTTTGGGGCCAACCGCAGCCAAATTTAATTTAGCGCAAACCAACCGCAGACCAACTGACACCAAAGACAACACCTCGTCTCACACCACACCACAGCAAAGCACAGCACCCCATCCCATCCCGATCCCATTCCCTGCACTAACCAGGCCGCAAATGGGGAGAGGTCGTCGCCTGTTTTATATTTTCATATTGGGAGCGACCGCATGCAGTGGACGCCACAATGCCACTTTGTATGTATGTTTGTGGCTTTATATGAATGCATGTACATACATACGAGTATATAGCATAACTACACACATATATACTTTGTGTATGTGTGTGTGTGTGTGTGTGTGTGTGTTTCACAGGCCTTGCCTCTCTCTTTCATTTTTATTTACTTTTTCGCCCTTGTTTTGCAACAAGCCACAAAATTTCATTTGAGCTCGCAATATGGCGCATTTAAATTTCGCATTTGTTGCTCTTGTTGTTGTCTTTTATATTTTTTTGTGCATTTTGTAAACAAGCTGCCACAGCACGCCGACAAACATACATAAAACGCGCATATAAAAACCTAAATGCATAAAGTTATTGCCAGCAAAACAAGAAGCGCAAATAAATAAATACATAAAGGAGAGAGTGCGCTAGAATTTAATTTTATGATGCATCGTTTTATTTATTACTCTAAACAAATGGAGACTTAAATGAATTTGCAATTCATACGCTCTTGTGTGCATTTGTTCTTGCTGTCGATGCACAGGTGTTGAACATAATTGTTGTCTTAAGGCAAAGCTAACTGTAACGGAAATTGATGATTGTTCTAGTTGGGAACTAAATCTTAACAAAGCTGATATAGCACTAGATAGATGTAAGGAAAGGTATGTTATAAACAAATATTAACATCTTGAAAAGTTATATAAAAACCAATAGGGATTTGTATGTATCAAGCACTTACAAGAATTAGCAGCCGAATAAATGCCGAGACTTTTTTGTTTCATAAACTTTAATTATATTGTTATTATTTACAACAACTTAAATTAAACTTATAGAAAAATGCAAATACAGCTTAAACTAGGAGAGCCCGGCAAGAAAATTATTAAAAATGCGCCAGCCTAAAAGTATGCAATTTAAATTGGAAGGGCCAGAGGCGTGCCCCGCTTGCAGGATAATAAATATGAAATAAATAGGATTAAAAATATTGCATTTTATGTTTAAAAATAATTAATATACAAGATCGCGTAATGAAAAACACAATGGGTGTTTTTCGGAACCAAATTATTGATTGAAAAAGAATCTAGTAATAACCTCTAAATTGGATAAATAAGTATATTGGTAGACCTTTGTTTTAAACTTCTTTCAAATAGTTTACGTTTCGCAATATCTGTATAGTCTTAACAGTAAGTAAGTGTTAGAAAATGTATTTTGCCATTAATTGAAGGAAAATGATGAAACAATACGAATCTATTTTATTTCATGCTAATTAAAATCAGAAATTTTTTTTACCCAGTAGCCAAAGCGTTCTAATTTACAGAACACACACATTCAGTTTTCTAGATTCTTTTGTGCTGTAAACACACATGTTTTGGGAATTCCTATTCAAAATTAAAAAGTGCAGTTTTTCGAATTTAATCAATTTATACCAAGAGTTTCATTATGGATTTGACAACAGAAGAGATGATGCAGTTTGAGAATGGATTCAACATACTCAATCGGGATGGCGATGGAAGTGTCACTAGCAAGGAATTGGGGGCGTTTATACGCGCACTCGGTCTGACTCCCAATGAGAACGAGATGCAGGCCATGATCAACGAGGCAGATCTGGATGGCAATGGGTCTATTGAGTTTCCGGAGTTCTTGGCCATGCTTACCCAGAAGATGTGCAACACTGCCAATGATGATGAGTTGCGCGAGGCATTTCGCATACTCGATAAGAGCAGCAACGGTTACATAACGTTAGAGGACCTGAAATTTGTCATGACAAATTTGGGACAAAAGGCGACCGATGATGAGTTGGAAGAGCTGATACGCGATGCTGATGCGGACCAAGATGGTTGCCTGAACTATGAAGAGTTTGTGACTATGATGACGGAAAGGCAGGAATAAGAATATAGTTTGTGAAGCCAACACGCAATTCAACTAAATTAATAAAAGTGAGCAGTCAGATGGCGAACAATATATATTTGTTCTTTCCTTGACATCTACGGGTGTGTGAAAATAAATATCACGTTGTTGTGCATTTCCTGGGAATTACACCGCCCCCTCACAAACGTCCAGGCTAGCAACCGTAAAAGCTTAATGACTGTTGTACTTAATGTGCACAAAAAATAATGTATTCACCAAAATAAAAATAGAAAAATGCTACTTTCAGCGCCACTTGGGCTCACTATGAGGCTGAGGCAGAGGCAGAGGCAAACCCAGCACAGCCTCCGCATTAAACCTTCGTTTTATGCTGCAACAACGCTTGAAGATAAGCTGTTGCCGCAGCGTAGCGAGTGTGGCAGCGCCTCTTCATGCTACGTTGGCTTTTATCCAATTTACCTGATAACCGCAAATGAGCGTTAATGGGCAAATAAATAGAAAAGTGGCAACTACGGCGTTGGAGCGCGCCAACTGAGTGAAGAGCCGCGGGCGCGGTTCTGGCTTGGCTGCAGAAATACAAACAGACAGCTGCCAACATGGTCGGCTTTAACGTACATTTTCCACAGCAGCAACAACAAAATTTTGTATTTTCCATTTAGGAACTTAAAATATATAGTATGTACGTATGTTTGTGATTATTTTTTCTAATTTTTTTCATTAATTATAGAAATAAACTGCTAGAAGTTTTGTTTTTTAACAATTTATTTTAACAAGCATGTTTTAAGTTTGCATTTAATTTGAATTCCTTTCCTGAAAAGCTTAATGGGGAGTTGATTTTGGAAAGGTAGACCACAATTTATTTGCACATACATATATGAACAGGAAGACGAGATGAATCTAAATCACGATGTCTACGCCAAGCAGGCCCATTGTGAAGCCATTTAATCCTATTTACATCACCCGCAGCTGCTAATAAGCTTAGCTTATTTTACAATCTCCAGATTTATTGTATCAGTGAGGTTGTTTAGGAAGGGTAGCCAGAAGGCAGTGAACCTAAGTTTGCTGGTTATGTGTGAGAAGCCGATTCCTTTCTTATCAGAAGGCAGGTGTGCAGTAGTTCCTTTTCTGGCCAGCTCAACAACATTTCGCCACAAATATCATAATATTGCTATCCAATTTATGCACAAATGATGAAACTTTTTAGCAGTGGATTGATCTTTGTTCTTCAAACCATTACAATGGCCGTTGTGTTCGTGACCCACTTAAGGCCATTTCCATTCAATTAGCTTTGCTAAATCAGTGCGCTACTGTGGCGTTGGGGAGCTTTGGACAACTAGGCAGGCAATAAAACCCAAAACTCTATTAAGCGCCCGAAGCCAAAATGGTAATGCAACGTAACATTTAGTGCCAATAAATTCCGTAGCGTTTGCAAATGCCAGCGAAGCGTTCATCGACGACGACGACGACGACGACGGTGATGATGATGATGATGATGAAGAGGAGGCGCACGGGGAGGCGGCGGCAAGCAAGCAGATAGACAGACAGACAATCAGTTAACACTTGTAACTAACCGAGCAAAGCGGCGGGTCCGTGCAACTGCATCGACGGGTGGAATGGTGTACGGCAAACAATGCCACTCCCACACAACCGGATGGCTACTAAAGTGCCACATGCCAATGCACATGATGTGTTTAATGGTTAAATTGTTGCTAATTCCATTAGCCGTTTACTGGCTGCATTTTGTGTGTTGCTGTTTGTGGCCAACAACTGCAACAGCAACACCAGCCATACCAGCAATACTTGCAACAACAACAGCACCAAAACCAACACCACCACCACCAGCAGCAGCAGCAGCAGCAACACGACACATGGAGACATGGAGGCATGACAACAAGAAGAGGACCGGAGCAGCAGACGATCCGACGACCAGAAGGCGACAGCCCGCTGGCAAATGGAACGTGCAGAAATTAATGTTACGTTGACGCAATGTCGACACGGCTCGAGTGCTCTGACCCTTTCCCTATACCCCTGCACTCAGAGAAAGGGAAGTATTTTCGTAATTTTCTAAAGCAAGATCAGATATACAATACGATTGTTTAAATTGATAACTTTATACCAATATGTGTCTCTATTTTACTTGTGAGTTTGTTCCAAACAAGGCCGAGGAAAACTGAAATGGAAAATACAAGTATTAAAACCTAATAGGTTTAGTATTTTTCTCTGAGTGTACCGCCCAACTCTGCCCATTTCATTTCAGCTGCAAATTGGCACATTGTTTGGTCTCTCGAACTATGCGGCATATATGTGCGTGTGTGTGTGTGTGCGTGTGCGTGCGTGTGTGTGTGAGTGTACAATCATGTTTGCTTGCATGCAGATTTGTCAAACTTCATTGGCGCCTGCTGATTAGAATTGGCCACTTTCGGGGCTCGTTGCTGTCTGTGATTCTGCCATTTGCAACTACCTTCGGCCTAAAGGTAATACAAAGTGCGAGTCTGCATACTAAATCAGAGCGAGGAGCCAATTTGTAAGGCAAAAAATTAATAGTGGTGAAGAGAAAATGTAGCTGAAGGTACTTAATTAAATCGGAACGTGGCTCGGTGGGGGGAAAACACTGCACGCCCCTCAGTTAAAGGTTAAAGGAAAATGTTCAACTTCCACAACAAATAGATGAGAGCTATGTTAAAACAAACTTACTTTGGAATTAAGCTCATAACTTTAACATTATTTCTCTTTTGGTACATCTGCAATTTTGAATATAAATGAAAATCTATTCCAATTAAGGCATTTTTTTAGAAATAAGTAAGCATTTAATTTGATCATCTTAACAACAATCATAACTTTTCGCAGACTTTTC